TGTCTTTGAAAATAAAAGTACTTTGGTATCTCTTCATTCTCTAAGCCCCTCTCTCAGCAAGGGTACTCCTGTTTTCTCACAGGGCACTTCCTGCTGCAGTACCTAATTCTAACTTTGTTTTACTATAACTCAGCTAAAGTAGGAAAGAGTTCCACTTTATAGTTTTTATTAGCTGTTCATGCATTTTTAAAATAAGTTTGTGTTAAATAAATGTTCAGCAAGGAGCTAAATTTTTAAAAAGCATCATTCGGCCAGGCGCAGTGATTCATGCCTGTAATTCCAGCACTTAGGGAGGCCAAGGCAGGCAGATGAAAAGGTCAGGAGTTTGAGACTAGCCTGGCCAATATGGTGAAACCTCATCTCTACTAAAAATTCAAAAAAATATTACCCGAGCATGGTGGCACACGCCTGTAGTCCTAGCTACTTGGGAGGTGGAGGCAGAAGAATCTCTTGAACTCAGGAGGCAGAGGTTGCAGTGAGCTGAGTGCCACTGCACTCCAGCCTGGGAGACAGAGTGAGACTCTGTCTCAAAAAAAAAAAAGGCATTTTCCAGTAAGTCTAGTTCTATAAATATTTCAGTGTCAAGCTTTTTCTATTTGCTGTTGGTCTAGTGTTCATAATATTCAGAACAACAGTCTTGACTTTCCCTGTCCTCCTTTTTCTGCATTTACTAGAAGTGCAGGACCATGCCTTTCATGAGTCCTTATTCTCTGTCTTTTTTAAAAACTCTTTGCCTCTTCTGCTCTCCTTGAGGAATGAGTTTTTATTCTCTATGTTAACTCTTCTGTCCTTTGGAGACTTGAAAAACATCATCGTATGATACTTGGAATTTTTTTCCTTAGTGCTTCTTAGCTACTGCTGAGATTACAGGCGGGTGCCACCACGCCCAGCTCATTTTTATATTTTTAGGAGAGACAGAGTTTCACCATGTGGCCCAGCTGCTCTCGAACTCCTGATCTCTGAAGATCCACCCACCTTGGCCTCCCAAAGTGTTGGGATTATAGGCTTGAGCCACTGCGCCCAGCCTGTGAATAAGGATTTTCTTATCAAACCAAGCCTTTTCTTCTATTGCTTGTCCTCTTTCCTTCCCGGAAAGTCACAGCACCCATGAGTTGGCATCCTCATACAGGAGGCTCTTGAGCTACCAGTCACATGAGAATGAAGGCAAGAAAAGAAAGGACCAGATGGTATCAAAAGATATGCCTTTGTAGGTCACTGGTGGCTAAGCTTGCCGTCTGGTTACCAACGGGGAGACTATGGGGGAAAGGGTGGAGAGCAGCACCATTGCAAGGGGAGAATAATTTTGCCATACAATTCCTGTTCCCAGAATTTGCGGGAGAGAAAAAAATTTCCATGTTCAGGAAAATGGATTTTCTGATTTAACTCTTTCCACTTTACAATTACGGGGCATCTGTTGCTCTTGGAAGAGTATGTTTACCTAAGTGGCATCTAAGCACCTGTGGTAAATGTGTGCATTATTTGGATGGGATTCTCCCTCTTGGTCAGCTGCCGTTCTTCAACTGCCATTAACTGTCTGTTATTCTACTCTCCAAATGCCTGTTTCATTTAAATAAAAACTTACGGAAATGATATTTATCTTCCACAAGTACACCTGTCTCCACAAGAGCAGAGGAAATAATTCACTGATCATCCTTCCTATTAACATCAATTATGGAGGACTGTATTTACAAAATATGAAGAATGGCATCACTGGCCTTTGTGAGATATCTCAGGGTATATTTTCTTGGTGTAAGTTGTGTTTCAGAGCAGATGAATAATTATTTGACTGAAGAAATGTGCAGTAGTGGCTAAATAAAAAAATATCTTTTAGGGCATTCTGCCTTCCCTGTTAATTTAGGCATTTTTCAAACCTTGGTCTGGGAATGTCCTGATTTGTTAGTGTTATGCAAATCCTCAGACAGCTTCTGAAACTAGCTGATTATTTCCTTATGGAATTCCAGTTCAGGTGTGTTCCCTTGAAGGAGAGAAAATAAGGCATTTTAAATTTTACATTTAAACTTGGTCCCAATCTCTACATTTAGGTTTTTTTAAAATTACATAGAAAATCCTTGCTTTTTCACAGACAAATTCAATATTCTTTAAGTCCAAAGTCAAATTTCAACCTCTTTCATAAGTCTACCCCCTCCAATTACAATCTCTCCATTTATTCAGATTCTGTTGTCCTTGATATCTGTATGACTCATTCAGTATGGACCAAATGAGACAAAACAGTATGTTTCTTTCTGTAGTCTAAACTCTTAAAGTTAACATTTCTTTTTAACTTTTCCTTCTCAAGCATCTGGAAAAGTGCTGAGTATGTAAAAGTCATGCAATAAATACATGGAATGATTAAAGAGAGAAAAAGATATTTTAATATGTTATTTTCATTCTAGGTTTTAGCAAGTATCACAAAACAAAAACTAGACCCACCTTTCTTTTCCTTGATGGGAAACTTTACAGAATCATTTAGAAGTTCCTCACCCCCCCCACCCCCCCCACCCCGCCCCGAGGCAGTGTTTCACTCTGTGGGCCAGGTAGAATGCAGTGGTACCATCTTAGCTCACTGCAACCTCTGCCTTCTGGGTTCAAGCGATTGTCGTGCCTCGGCCTCCCGAGTAGCTGGGATTACAGGCGTGCTCCACCATGCCTGGCTAATTTTTATATTTTTAGTAGAGGTGGGATTTTGCTATGTTGGCCAGGCTGGTCTCGAACTCTTGGCCTCAAACAATCCGCTCACCTAGGTGTATCAAAATGCTGGGATTACAAGCATGAGCCACCTGTCCAGCTCATTTTGAAGTTTCTTAAAGAATAAAAAATAAAAGGTAATTCTTATATATACTGAAGCTTTGGAGTTAAGTAATTTGAACAAAATAGATAAGGTATTTTTGCAGTAAGGTGCTTGTTAACTTTATTAGTTGCTTTGTTGACTTATTTTTATAAGACTAAATTTAAAGCTGGAATGTCTAATTATTAGTGTAACCTCCAGTCTTTTTTCCATGCTTCAGTCAGATCATATGAGTACTGTTATCATATGCCATAATGATCTTAATGAAGAGTTTAAAGACACTTTTTACTCTGGTGTTTTGTTTCTGCTGTTTGTTTGCTTTTTTGGTCTGCCGCACAAGAGCACTGTGATCACTTGAGAATCATCACCTAAGAAATTTTTCAGTTAAAAAATGAACATTTTGCTAAAGCTTCAGCGCATTTGGGTAGGATAGTAGGGGAGGAAAGTGACTTTGAAGTTGTTAAGTATCATTAAGTAGAATCCATGGATATACTTTGAGGGATTCCTTTATCCACATTAGTTATGTCAGGTTTCAGCCTGGACCCAATTACTAGACTTGAGGTATTGAACTCAATAAAGAAATGTGGAATGGAAATACTGTCAGACCTTTAACTATAGTTGGGTTAGTAGGTGCTGAAAGAGTCTTAACAATTCATCAGCCAAACCTCTGACCTCACTACCCTTAATCATCCTTGCTTGTCATGACATAATTGGCTGCTTATTGCCTTCTCCTACCCTCTTTCAAATTCCTAGCCTTTAAGCATTTCACTTGACATTATTTCTTGTGCATTAAGACAGAGAAAGTGCATAGTTTGGTGTGAATTAGCAAAACCATTTTGGTCCTCTTTCAGAAGAAAATGGAGGGTGTGTATTTTGTTCTTGATGCAGTTAAGACAGTTACTAAAGTTCAGTTATAGGTCTTTAAGGAGTTAAGGGTAAACTGTGAACATATTTGTGGATGTTCTATTCAGATATGCTGTTAATGCTGAATTAATTCTTGTGAAAGATGTGTAGTAGTATTGTTTTAGGATGAAGTTAAATACTCAAAACTCTCTCGTCACTATGATCATAGTTCTTTTAGGGCAGAGGGAAGGTAAATCCAGGAGGCTGAGGTGAAATTTCCTTCAACTTTCCCATGGGAAGGGTAGATTAGAGAATGCAATGACTTTCAGTAAAGAATTTTTGTCACCTGTTGTCCTTGTGGATTGGAGGTAGGTAGAGAGAGGAAAAGAGAAAAATAAAAATTAAGCTAATAAGCTAGTACAGTTAGCAGGGGACTATTTTATGGGTTATTTCTGTGGCTAGAATTGACCCTGTCTAAACCCTACCATAGTTGGCCACAATAGAATTTTGCTGTTTCTGTTGTATTGGAGTATAAAAAAAATCACCATTTTTTTAAGTGAAAAATGGTTGAATATCAGAAATTTCATACGGTTCAACCTAATATACAACAACATGTAAGAGAGGTAGGTTGTGTATGTGTGGGTTGTGTGTGCAAGCAAGTAAAAGGTAGGAGGGAAGAAATATAAACTTACGAGCATTTTATACTCCCTTGAGGTACCACAGCTGAAAACCCCTCCTCTTGCCTATGGTTTTAGTTATTCAAGATGAAAAAAAATTGTCCTGGTATCTTTTCACACTTCCATATTAATATATTTGAGACAGTTTATGGGGTGAGTTAAAAAATAAACCATCTTGACAGAGATAACCATTGGGGATAATAATCTAAAGTGACTGTTGTCTACAGAGTACAACAGAAATAGCAGCGACTGAAATGCCACCACCCTCTACACTTGCGGATTCTTCGAAAGTGGAGAATTAGGGGTGTAACATCCACCCTATAGGCTGAATAAATGCAAATTATTTATCTGAAAATAGGTTTTATGATATTTCTAGTGGAATATCCAGACTGTGTTGACTTTTTGTCTTTCTTAGACGAGCTCATCTGCGCCTTTGTTTAGAACGCTTAAAAGTTCTGATTCCACTAGGACCAGACTGCACCAGGCACACAACACTTGGTTTGCTCAACAAAGCCAAAGCACACATCAAGGTGAGAATTTTTACTTTCAGATTTGCATAATTCACTCAGTTCCGGTTTAATTATTGGCAGTGATTCCTATTCATATACATCAGCTAGTTCGCCATGCCCTCTTTAATAAATGACCTCAAGAGAAATCTTTCTAAAAACTTATCAGCTAATCTGATGGGAGCAACATAACCTGATTAAACTAAACTGTTTTGACAGCATGGCCATTTGAAGAGCCGGGAACACCAGGAAAATAACAGTTACCTTCTTCATACTCAGAAGGAAGGCAGTTGTGCCCTCTGGTGGAGATGACTTCATTTGGCTGTGTCCTTCAGTATTTTTCCATCAAATAACACACAGAGGAAGTTTCTCCGTGGAGATTAGTTTACAGGCTTTTAGAAGTCCATCTTGTTCAAGTAACGTAGCATGCATTACATACACAGAAAAGGAAAAGACAGAACTATTTTTTATTTTTAAAAATACGTATTTATATACATTCACATTTTGGAGGCTTTAAACAATGTGTATATTTTTACACACACAGTTTGTGTATTCATTCATGTTTTCTCTGCCAAAGAAGGAATAGGTTTTATTGTTTGTACTGGACTATACACAAATGTAAACATCATTTCATTTCAGAAACTTGAAGAAGCTGAAAGGAAGAGCCAGCACCAGCTCGAGAACTTGGAACGAGAACAGAGATTTTTAAAGCGGCGACTGGAACAGCTGCAGGGTCCTCAGGAGATGGAACGAATACGAATGGACAGCATTGGATCAACTATTTCTTCAGATCGTTCTGATTCAGAGCGAGGTAGGCAGCTTGCCTCTTCTATAATGAAATACTAAATATCTCTGTAGGTGGTATGTTGGGAGGCAGTGTATTTACTTTCTTTTTAGCCAACTGTAATATTCTAGGTCTTATGCGATCATAATATTGTCTAGCAGTGCCAGTGTGGACTATAAAACTGTTTTCTTGAATACATATACATACATATATATATATATATATATATATATGAACATATATATATATATATATGATGCAGTTAAGACAGTTACTAAAAGTTTAATTACAGGTTTTTAAGGAGTAGGGGTAAACTGAACATATTTGTGGATTTTCTATTCAGATACACTGTTAATTGCTGAATTACTCCTTGTGAAAGTTGTATAGTAGTATTGTTTTAAGATGAAGTTAAATACTCAGAACTCTCTCATCACTATGATCATAGTTCAGGGCACAGGGAAGGTAAATCCATGAGGTTGAGGAGAAATTTCCCTCAAAAATATATATATTTTTTAACTTTCTATTTTGAGATAATTTTGGACTACAGAAAGTTTTGTTTCCTATAGAAAATTGTAGTTCTCATGTAACTCTTTACCCAGCTTCTCTAACATTAACATCTTATATAATCGCAATACAATTATTGAAACCAGCAAATTAACATTGATAGAGTACTATTAAGTAATCTACAGATTCTATTCAAATTTTACCAGTTTCCCCACCAGCATACTTTGGTCCAGGATCCTATGCAGGATCCCACATTGCATTAGGTAGTTCCTTGGTCTTTCTTTCCTGACAATAACACTTTTGAAGAATATTGGCCAACTGTGTTATACAATGTCCCCCAATTTGGATCTGTCTGATGTTTTCAAATGATTAGATTGAGTATATACATTTGGGCAAGGAATGTCACAGAAATGATGTTGTGCCCTTCTCAATCCATTTTGTCAGGAAGATACATGATAATGTTTTTATTACTGGTGAAGTGAATTTTTATATGTAGAGTTTAAAAAATACCACATCCTTTCTCTTTCCATCTATCCTAAAATATTTGTCTTTGACAGAATTAAAGAACAGAAGTCAACCAAAAAATAATGGTTTGAATTTTACTGATCTGTTCTTCTAAAGTTTCCACATCAGGCTTCATATCACATTAAAAGATCCCAGAGGTGAACACTGGTGATTTGAAGCCTTACATTTGGGGAAAAGAGCTCATGAACTTTTCAGGATTCTAAAATATGAGACAAGTGACAGGGGGTTGTTTGTTTGTTTTTAGGACTCTGATTTTGTTTGTTGTTTTTGACTTTTTTAAGTGGAAATTTTCAAACATATCTAAAGGTAGAATAGAATAATGAACTCCTGTATACCTACCATTGTTTGAACAGCTGTCAACATTCTGTCATTCTTGTTTCATCCATTCTTCACTACCCTCACCCTCAGTATTTTTTCCTGGAATGCTTTAAATCAAATCCCAGATAACATCATTTTGCCCCTAAATACTTTAGTATGTATCTCAAATAAATAGGATTTTAAAAATATGATTATAATACTATTATAATACCAAACAAATAATAAAATCAGATAATCTAATTTAATATCATCTAATATCCGATTTGTGATAAATTTTCTCCACTTGTCTCAAAAATGGCATTTTACCATTGGTATATTTAAGTCAGGCTCCAGAGGCCACATTCCATTTGTTTTATGTGCCTTTTAAGATATTAATCTATAATAATTTTTCCTGTTCCACACCGTTTTGGTAGAAACAAAAAAAAACTGGTTTCTACATAACATCTCAAAAAGACTTCTTTGGCAGAGAAAACATGAATGAATATATAGGTATAGATCTCTGTGTATATATATATAAATATACCAAAATACATATTTTTTTAAACATCAAGAGACTGAGTCATTTTTCTTACAGAATTTCCCACATTCTAGATTTGGCTGGTTGAATCCTCATGGTATCATTTAACATGTTATATCCCTTATATTTATTGTAAACTGGTTGGTAAATGCAGAATACTTCATAGGTGGTGCTTTGTACTTTGTGTTGCATCAATACTGTGTCTAGTTGTCACACTTTTAATAATAGATCAATAAGTAGATTCAGGTAAGGTCATTATAATACATTTATATAAATATATCAGCCTTTAACTTAATAATTGTTTTAGAAATTATTGCCCTTAATTCATTGGGTGTTATACAATAGTGATATTCCAATTGTGTCATTCCTCTTATATTTACTGTTTTTCTATAAACACTTCCTCATCGACTTTTTGGTTATTCTGAAATAAAGTTCATACAGGGAAGGAGGGATAAATGCTTGGTCTTGTTTTTTGCTTTATCAGTTTTCTCAGCAGAATTGATACCATATCAACTTCCAGAAGTAACAAGTTTTGGTTTTACTGTTTTTTGATTATATCATGAACTCATGTTTTGCTGTACTGAATGTGTTCCGAACTATTACAGTCATCCTTTTAAATTCTTTTGAATGCTCAAACTGTCCCAGATTTGGTGAGTTAGAAGCCTTTCAAATAGTTTTTTGACCCTTTTTAACACAACCCTAGGAGTTTTTTGTTTTGTTTTGTTATTTTTCTATGTAAAAGTTTCTTTTTATGTGGCACTCAGTTTTCAAGAAAAGTATACCAGAGGCAGTAGCAAGAACATGAAGGACATGCTACATTTATGAGTGATGGGGAGGTATAGCAGAAATAACCCTGAATTAGGTATAGCAGAAATAACCCAGACCTTGGTACCCACCCCATTACCTCCAAATTTCAGAGGACGGTTTATTTTCACTGCTGTAGTTCTCATTTTTTTTTAGTGTTCCCAGTGTACCTTACTTTCGTGGTACCTTACCAAGTACCATCCTTATCTTGAGCTGGTAACCTCCTTTTCCTAGTGTTACAGGGGCTTTTAGTTAACATCTCTGGCATACTTGGCTAAAGCAGTTTCTCATTTTACTTGTTTTAATTTTTAAAACGTATTTTAAAATTTTTTTAAAATAGAGATGGGCTTTTGCCTTGTTGCCCAAGTGATCTCAAACTCCGGGGCTCAAGCAGTACTCCTGCCTCCCAAGGTGCTGGGATTACAGGTGTGAGCCACTGTGCTGGCCATCATTTTTACTTTGACTGAGTTCAGCAAGTTATTTTGGATAGTGTGCCTTGTTATTATTTTCTAGTTGTAGGCTGGATGAGTGTTCAGTGGTGCTGGGAAACAATGGATTCTGAAGCAATATGGATATAGAGCAAATAGTTAACGAATTTATAGATTACTTGGATAGCAGCCTGTATTTTAAAAACACATGTCTAAAATCTCTAAAACTTTTGAAGCAACAAGCCCTTTTGAAGAGTATACTCCGGGAAAGAGCTTTACCCTGTCTTTTTGGCCTCACAAGAATCTACTTTTTTTTTTTTTTGAGACAGTCTCGCTCTGTCGCCTAGGCTGGAGTGCAGTGGTGTGATCTTGGCTCACTGCAACCTCCGCCTCCTGCGTTCAAGCAATTCTCCTGCCTCAGCCTCCCAAGAAGTTGGGACTACAGGTGCGCATCACCATGCCCAGCTAATTTTTGTATTTTTAGTAAAGACAGGGTTTCATCATATTGGTCAGGCTGATCTTGAACTCCTGATGACCTCGTGATCCTCCCACCTTGGCCTCCCCAAAATGCTGGGATCTTAGGTGTGAGCCGCTGCACCCAGCCAAATCCACTTTGTCAGTGCCAAATGTGAAACATCAGGCTTTGAGTTTGTTTTAAGGTAACTGAAAAATCCTGGGTTTCACTCTAGCTCTGATGGGAGAAAACAACTTTTTAACTCCTTTTTGTTTTTAACACGTGTATTGCTTTATGTATATTATTGGTGACTGAATAGTATTTAACAATTAAGGTTTTTAATTTTTTAAGAGACAGGGTCTCACTGTCATAGGCTGAAGTACAGTGGTGAGACCTTGGCATGCTGCAGCCTCAACCTCCTGCGCTCAAGATTGATCCTCCCACCTTAGCCTCCTGAGTATTTGGGAATACCGGCTCACCCAGTGTATCTAGCTAATTTGTGTGCATTTTATTTTTTATTTTTATTTTTGTAGAAATGGGGTCTCACTTTGTTACCCAGGCTTGTCTCAAACTCATGCACTTAAGGGATCCTCCTGCCTTAGCCTCCCAGTGCTGGGATTACAAACATGAGCCACTGTGCCCAGCAAGATTATATATTGATAGCTGAGTCAAATATGTACTTGGATTTTTTTTTAATGTTTGGTTTTTAAGTCTATATACCACCACCAAAATGGATCTCACTATAATCTGGAGACTTTTAAGTCTCAGGCCCTTATTTCAACCTATATTTGATGCAAGAAAATTAAATCTAAGACATAGCCCTCAAAATCTGCTTTATAATGACTGGCTTGACTGAATAGTCAAAGATCTTTATGATGAATACTAGAAGTCTGTTGAACTATCCGTAGAATGGTACCACCAAAGGCCTGGATGGGTAAATTTTCTAGTTTGCCTATACTAAGTTTATGTTCCTGCCCATCATTTAAGGCAACCCTGATTAATAAACAGAACTGACAATTACTTTGTTTAATGCAAAACAGATGTTCTTAAACCAGTTGGGGGTTGGGAACTTT